TCCCCCCCCCCCCCCCCCCCCCCCGGCCCATTACTTGTTTTATCAGCAGCTCTAACAGCATGCTCTCCCAGGAGTGAGCCATTACATTTTAGACCTACATTTTTCCTGGGTTCTCAAAGTGTGTCTTTCTCTATCAAGATTGTTTCTTTTTATTGATATTCTGAGATGTTCTGTACATGTACAATTCTGCCCAGGTGCAGATCTCATGTGTCAGACAAAAAAAGAATAGGAAAAAAGAAAAGAGAGAGTACTTACCCTAGGTGTGAATTTACTAGACTGAAAGAGGGGAGTTGTTATCTCCATCCTTTTGTAATTCCTGGAAGATCATGCATACTTTGAATCACAGACAATGTAGTAACATCTACATGGCTGCATGGGTGTTCCCATTCACACTGCACTTGCTGCTAGCCTTATTTTGAAAGATTTGATTCTACATTCATTTCATATCTCCGTCCATTCCTCTCCCTCAGGACATAAAAGGGAGGCCAGGGGCTACTGCATTTCAGGTTCTTCAGCGGCTGAAGCTGAAACTGAATGGAGGGTTGGGAGTAGACTACTTGCTGACAGTTCATGGTGAACAATTAGTGATGCAACTTGCATAGAAAGGTGTTGTAATGAAAAGTGGATTAATACTTCAGATAGAATATAGCTAAAAATGTATTTAACTATCATATTTGATAAAGCTATACTGATGTCCCAAAAAGGAGGGGTGTTTTGCTTGGAAAGAAAAACCTCGGATGCTGCAGAGTGGGTAAATACCTTATATTTCTCAAAATGTATTTTCAGCATAGACCTGTCAACTGAGCTTTGATAGTACAAATTGAAAGAACCTGTGAGTTTACATGAAAGGCAATTAAAGTGAAAGGAGTGTCTACTAAGAGAGGTTGCCCAAATCAAACCATTGTCCACGTATTGATAGATTTAGGTCTTACTAGTTCCATCACACCTTTCGCTTACCAAATACTTGGTTGGGATTGTGTGCTATCATTTGTATCAGTTTTCCTTCTGAGGCTGCATGAGACACATGCAGAGCTATGGGCTTCACAATTGTCTAGACAGGATCTTAACATCATAGAGTAGCTCACCTCTAATTGCTTACTCTGCTGAATCTAATGTGATTCATTTTGGGATGGAGTTAATGCGCTGCTTTTTTGCACTCTCAAACCGAAGTTGCAAGAGCTAAAGCAAGCAATGTATGGTGACTTGTTGAGCAGAAGCACCTTAGGAGGGCCAGCCTTTGAGATAAGAAAATAGAACATTTTATTTACCCTTTGAGCGCTGCAGGGATCACCAGACATTTTGTAAACACTCTTGAAACTGTTGAACACCGCCCCCCCCCGCGAGGAAGAATAGTTCTGTATGAAGTGGCAACTTCATGTAACAAAACAGACATACTTATCCTAAGAATGGGGAACTGCAATATGGAATTACGCCCTTGAATCTGGAATACCTCTCCAACACAGGACAAAGGTGGATAGGTAACTGGAATGAGAGGAACTGGGGCTGGTCATGCATTTCCAGTGGAAGAGAATTTTTCTGGCAGTAATAGGATGCAGAGGAGATCCTAGGGATTCAACTAACAGAAATAGTGCTAGCTTAGCCTTTGTCTGGCCCTTCTAGCTCAAGTTTATTTTGAGAATGAAAAAATACAGCATTCACTCAAAATCTACTCTATACATGAGGTAGCTCATTGTCCTCTGGAACATGAATTCACTGAAATCGGTGTCAAAGGGTAGTATTTCTGTTTGACTGTGAACCAAAAGCATAGTCATAGTCTCCAAGTTCACAAAACTTCACTAAATCTATTAAAAAAAAATAATACTGTATCAGAACTGCAGATAGTAGAGGAAGCCACTTTTACCCTTTCTTACAAAAAAACATTATTTACTCACAGAAGCAGGATGCTGTTAGCTGTCCTTTCAGAACAGACTACGACTGGAAGAGCCCAAAAGAGAATGGTGCCAACTCTGCCTTTTATTGCCTCTGGCAGAAGGCATAGGGGAAGGGCAGTTAAAGCTCACGTGGACTCAGCAGACGTAGTTGCCTAAAGAACTTCAAGTCTGTTTCACACAAGCCTTTCATTGAATGAATGAGTAAAACCTGATTTGGGCTATTTGTGTAGTATTTGTGTGGCAGATTCAGATGCCCATAGCAGGGACAGCTCTCTTGAAGGTGAGGACATGCTGCCACATGAAGAATAATAGAGGGGGAAAACGTCCCCAAAAGGTACTAAATATCACTAGTAGGATGAGTTGCAGCTGGCAGCAAGTAGTTGCTGGTGTTCACTTGGTCTTTTCAGACCATTCCCTGCTTGTCTTGAGAGAATTTAATAGAAAATTTTAAAAAGGATTAAGGGAAGTTAGTCTGAGCTTTACAGACCTGGAAGGTGTTACACTGCCTGTGGGTACTGCAATACACTTTGTTGTTGTTTTGAACTGTCAATATGTCTAGATATAAAAAAAACTCCACAATAGACTCCTTGTAGACATGAATTGTTTCCTGTTCTTCAAAACAGCCATTTAATTAAAATTTGCAGTAAAAACTATTTAGCTGGGACACTTTCCTTTCCACTTTGAATAATGATAGGTAAAGAGATGATACTCTGGTGTGGTGAGGAGGACATGCGGCACAGCTGTGACATCAGCTGGAACCCAGGGAGCTTTCAGGGCTTTCCAGGTGCTGTGCCTTTTTGAGTGGTAGTTCTGCACAAATATACTGACCACTTATTTTCTCATCAAACACTGATGATCTTGATGACATATTTCCAAGCAGTTGCATTATTTGAACAGAAATTAGCCTTATTGCAAGTTTCAAAGTTCTGTTTGTTCCTTTCAGTGTTCCATTTAAAGTAATATGCTATATCCTGTGTAGTGCAAATACAAACTCGGACTACTGTATGATTTTTAAACATATACAGATGTAAGTCTGTGTGTATGTGCCATAATGGACCATAGATGTATGGTGTGATACATGGCAACACAACTACCATTGGTCAGGTCCAAGTATTTCTCATTACCATGTAGTACAGTTACTCTTTGTTTTATGATGATTATTAATTTTTAATGGTGTTATATTATTTCGTTAAAATCCTCATTTAACATTAAATCATGCATATTACAAGTGCTAGCATACTGAATCTTAATCATGTATTTGATTTATAATAGCTTTAAAGTTAAGCTGTATATTGATCAGCTTGAAAGAATGCATACCAGTTTTTTTATACGTGTTCTTTAGAGGTCACAAGAGTTGTCAGATTTTCAGTAATTTCCATGCCTTATTAAAACTGAGATATTTTTAATGCAATATAAGGAACTAAGAAAAGCTATTGGTCCTGTTTTACTGGAGCTGAAGTTGCAATGTTTTAGCATAAAATTTACCACATTATCCCTACGCTATATATTGTTGCAGAAAAATATGAATAGCAGCTTCAGCTTAAACGTGTGAACATCCATCAAAGCCATAGTACAAAAAACTAGAATGATAGATTTGAAACCCCTTTCAGCTATTCCAATTATACAGGATTTTGTATTGGTCATTCACACTATTTTACCTTCTGCTCCTAATTTTTCTTTTTTCTTTTAAAGATGCACATTGAAGCTGCTAAGATGCTTTCTTTTACTGAAGAGGAATTCATGAAAGCTCTTGAGTGGGGAAATTATTGATTCCATAAAAAAACAACTTCTGTTTGAAGTACAAGTCAGACAGTACCTTATTTTGTCTCTGTGTATGAATGCTTGTTAATAGTTAGTAACTGTACATCCCAGTGAATTGATTTTGTTGATTTTGCTTATGTTTAAATTGTTTAACTTCTATAAGCCTGATCACTTGTGTTGTAATATCATATGAAATACAAATTTTTACTGAAGTTTCAGGCCAAACTGTCCATTCTGTAATGAGCAGAGAAGCAGAGACCATGCAAGGAATATTCCAACAAGTGAACTTTGCTATCAGTTTGCTCTGTTTTATCATTTAAAACTATACCTTATCTAAGGTAATATTCAGTCCAGAGAAGTCAGGGTTTAGTCTCAGAAAATTCCTTGTTGCAACAGAAATAAAATAACCAGTGATCCAGTTGAGAAGAAAATGTCATGTCCTTTTTAAAACACGTGGTTGGAAAATTGGCCTTGTCTGTTATCTGTAACAGATCTCCCCTCAAAGCTAGTTGGTCCAGCATCTAATTTAAGCACCACCAGCTCTTTTATAGAAATGATCATAACTTGTTTTAGCTATTACATCTTACACCCTGGCTGGCAAAAACATACATGAGACTTGCCCCTCACTATCCAGATAGACTCCATAATCTGATACAGTTGTATTCTGTAAAATTACTACTTTAGTCAAGGTGAAAGTATTAAATCTTTCCCTGGCCATCAGTTGCTGCTTTGGGATGGCTCCATATTCACATGTGCTCTACAAGCATTACATCCTTAAAAGATTTCATTATGTCATCATTATAATCAAGAACTAGATAAAAGTTTGAGTGTAGATGAGCTGAGCATATCATGTGTACGTTAATGAACGGGAGCAATAAAAGCCTGTGCTGCTTGACTGAACCTCTGTCAAACCTCAGCTATTTCAATGGATTCCTCTCTCAGAGTAATTGGATAGGAACATGGCACATAAATAGTAAGTTTATGCACTGAAAGAAAGGTATAAATGGTGGTTCTGACCTCAAAATGGAAAAATGTCCCTGCTTAGATCCTACCAGCAAAGTAACATGAACTAACAGCAAAACAAGTAACTCAGCCCTACCCCTTTGAGATGAGACAAACTACATTTAGATTAGTATTTTAATAATGTAATGCCAGTGCAGGTACATCTTTAAATTACAACCAGAAATAGTGCATTAAGAGAATCTTATAGTCCATACTGAAATACACATGTGAATTTACGCTAGCTTAGGTTTCTGCAGAGTTGCTAGAGAAATTTTTAACATTGCTACATCACTAACTGAGAATAATTGAGAAGTCTGTAACAGTTTATTGAGGAAAAATGCAAGTACAACATACACTTAAATAAAACTAACTGCTTAGTAGTTTAGAACTCCAGTCTTAAAATGGAGACTTTTTATGATATGAAAAAGGAGTTCCTCACTGCTCACAGCAAATGGAAATTTTCATTAGAAATCAGATGACACCTAGTGGCAAACCAGGAGATGAGATGGGGGAAATTTCAGCTCTTTTCTGAAAATGCATTACCTCTTCTCTTCTGATAAGCCAATCTAAATTCCTCTCCAAGCATGTTAACGTCATCTTCGTCTTTGAGTATTCCCTACAATAAGGGGAAAGAAACACATGTCAGAAGGCAGAACAAAGTAGAGAGATTAATACGGATCTCTCAAATTTTCTATGGAAGTGAATGTAATAGCTTGTATCCACAGTATCGGTGTTATCTTTAAAACAAACAGCCCTGAAAACCATAACAAAACTTCAATAGATGAGTTTCAAATTGGTGTACTTGGTGCTAACCTAGAACCGCCTCTTTTCTTCTTCACGCAAATGATGATGAGAACCCCGTAAAGATTCCAACATGAGCACTGTACAAAAGACAACATCCATCTGCATTCTCTTTCTAATAAAAGTGATTATAGTCAGCACAGCACAGGTGCAGGTTTAGTAAAATTGAGCAACTGCATTGAAAAGAGGCACTGGCTGGGGTGGGGCTCTATCTCCACCTCCAGTTGTGTTGAAATTAGCCCATACAGAGAAATTATTTTGGAAACCAACTGATACTGAGCAACTTAATCAGAAACTATGTTTTGTGGAAGGGAAGCAGGGTGAACCCAGAAATCTAAATCTCTTAACTAATTCTAAATTAATTTTAGAGCTAAAAATGTGTACGACCCACAGAACATACGTTGCAGCATTTAGGAAAAAAACAATTACAAATTGCATTTATATTGGAGACTTTAGAATTAGATAGCCCTTTTCTATTTAACCATTTTGAGTGAAGCAACATGATGTATGACCACATGATTCAGACACAGTGTTGAAGCAGAGAAAAGGAACAAAGTAGAACATCAATACCATGGAACAGGTATGATGAGCTGTGGACACTCTGAAATAGCCAAGACTTCCAACAACAGTAAACTCAAACCAGAAAACTGTCAAAATATTGCCAATTTGAGTTATCCTTTAACTGAATCTATATTAGAAAGTAACTCCAAATTTTACAAATTCATGCACCAAATCTGCATATTAATATTTGAATAAAAATTATACTCTGCTATATTTACAATGTTTTCCAGTATTACAGAAAAGAATTTCTTCAAACAGTTGGATAATTCCCACCCTACTGTAAATGCATTTTTACATCCCTAAAGCAGCTCTCGGTTCATTTGTGTACCATCAGGTTGTCTTTCCAATTATGAAGTGTAATACAAAATAAATCGTAATTTCTTTGTATTACAGTAATTCCTTCCATCTTTTTAACTTTAAAAAACACAAGGATGAACAGAGCAAGCTTTGAAATGCTTCTGTAAGCACTGCAGTTTATTGCACTGCCACAGAGAGGAGGCCTTGTTTCCATGGTAATAGAAGACTCAGAAGACAGCCAATACAGTAAGAAATTGCTCCCAAAACTCCAACTGAGAAGTCTGGTGGAAATGGGCTTCAAGATATGGGGGACCCCTTTCTAGCTAAAAAAGCCCTGCTTTACAACGTGGATGCCATATTCCAAAAACTGGATGTGCAAAGTGTTGCAAAAGCTTTCAGCAAGTTGTATGTGTACAAGGCACCAATATTGCAGCAGAGCCCAAAGCCCCTCACACTGAAAGAATTTTTCTGTAAATTGCTTCCCAAGTCAGAAAGAAAAAAGGAAAAGGTGAGCACAGGAGAGCTGGCACAATAAGGACACTCACTGATTCCAGGAATTTACAGAGTTCTGCAACTTCACTTAAACTATCCAAGAGAAAACTGATTTACAGGACAAACATTTAAAGCATTTAAAATACAGTTCACTTACTCGAGGAAGATAACCCAATAATTTGGACGCATGTTCTTTCAAGAGTTTCTGTCTCTCTTCTTCAACAATTGCACAGATGTTTTCTTGCCTTCTCTCCTCTAACTGTCTTTCTTCAAGTTCACGCTCCTACAATAAACAAGTTTTTGTAACTGTTCATTTCCAGCTCTGTGAACACTTGTTTCCACCAATATCTGCCATAGTATAAAGAGAAACACAAGTTTAAACAACATATGTTTGGTAACTAGAAAAAAAAACTCGGACAAAACAGGAGACTGAATGGCAAGACATGAGGCTAGTCTGCTATGTAAGTGTTTGGTCTCATACTCAAAGCTCTTTTAAAGGTATTTAAGTTCTGGTTCCTTCTTGGTTCTCAGACAAGTTAGAATGTTCCTGCCCTACTGTTCTAATCCAGGCAAAGGAGAAATAGGCATGTATTCTCATGCTGATGACTAGGAACTGCAATTTACATTACACATGTGATTTATACCCTATAAAAGTATAAAACTGCAGTATAGGATTTCATGACTTGTTTTCAGTTTATGCCTTTTCTTCCTCAGATGGTAACTTGAGAGACTTAATCTAAAATCAAGGCTGGGACTTCCCCTTCTCACACATCACTATCAGTGTTACTGATCAGGGACGCTGAACTGGACAACAGTTGTGTTGCCGATCCGTTGTTCCTGAAGAGATATTTGCAGATCCTGTCAGGTATACAGGGGTCTACGATGTTGCTGACTAACCTCTTGAGCCACCAAAAAAGTTAGCTCTAAAAAGACTTTTTTCTTGTCAGCAGACCAAAACAAAGGCCTGCTTCCTTCCTGCACATTTCTCTGCAATTCCCCTGGTCACCTTTCCCTAGTAACAATTGCCTTGTCACTTATGGCAGCAGAAGTATTCTCATATTGAAACACTTTGGCTCAAACCAAAGGCAAATGTGAAATTCCTTACTTTATCTGCAATAAACTGTTTGTGACGGTCTTCAATAAGTTTTTCCACAGCCCTTCTGTGTTCAAGCTGTTTCATTCTTTGTTTCTGAGCATTCATCTGTTCAATGCGATCATCCTCTGCAAACTTGGCCAACATCTGTTGTCTGAAGGCTTCTTCCTCTTCTTGCATAACTTGTTGCACTACCTTCTTTAAAGCAAATTGCTCTTCATATGTTTGCCTTAAGTCTAGGCGTTGCTTTATTCTTTTTTCAATTTCTGCCTATAAAGGAAATTTAATAAAATGCTGTATTACTGAACATACTTTGGAAAATTTTGATCATCAGCAGCCAATCTACTTGATTTATCTTGGAATAAATTTACTGTAGCTGTTACCTTCTAGCATAAATAACTGGAGCAAACACTCCATATCTGACAGTGCTCTCCAGTATTAACTGGTTTGGCAAATGTCTCAAGATGCTCAAAATTTAAGTCCAAAACGAAAGATTATTTTTTCCCACTAGCATGAAGTGGATCAACAAGACAGTCATCCTGAACAACTCTCTAAAAATAACAGTTATCTGTCTCAGCCTGTGTTACATTTTGTCACCCATTAGCAAGATAAGACAGAGTGTAGGCAGACCTACAGGAGAAAGCAAATGGGACATGCAAAAAGCAAGCACTTAATTCCTACTTAGCTTAAACCTGAACTTAAAAGTTACTGGTGTTCTCCTTCATGAGACAAATAAACATATAAAGGGGACCATAAGAGTATTCAAAACCTTCAGCTGTCTTCCTGGTTGAAATTAAAACATAAATACATTAGGAATGACAAAGGAAACTCAAAGGACAGAATTTTCCCTCCAAAAACTAAGCTAATATACAAACTACTTGTCTGACTAAGAACACTTAGGAAATAGTGTTGGAAATCAAGACTTTGTGCCAGAACAGAATTGAAAACAATTCAAATTCATTTAAGACACGTAAAACCATGTCAGAATTAAGCTTTTTGCTTTGAGACAGCTCACTGACCAAAACGGGCTCAAGGAATCCCTCAAAGACATCCCAAAGTCACAAATAATGCTGCAGACTTAGCAAATCCAAAGCATAGAAAAAATCCAATCCAACACATACTGGTCCACGAACAACCCTGCCAGCATTGTTAGAGGAAAAGTTGTGGAAATGGGAGTTATGTGGTCTCTGAAGAGCATCCTCAGGTGCAGAAGGAATTGCACGTGGGATATACTCTCACTAAACATTCTTTAAGCATCACAACTCCAGTGACAACGTCCAAAGACTGAAGGAGCACTGCTCCATCACAAAGACATCAGAAGAAGTGAAGGGACAGAGAAAGACTATGTAAAATACTGTACCCTGCATTCACTTCATTACTTATTTTTCTAGATCAGCAATTCAAAATGGTTTCATTTTCTCTTTAGATTTTCATATCTGGTCTGTTTAAATTAGATTAGTCTACCCATAGCTACAAGTGCTCCATAAATTATATGTTTTCCTGCATATACACTACTATTTTTATTTTATAAAAAAGTTTCATCCAGACCAGCTCAGCTAACCTAAATGTTCTGCAGGAATTATGGCAAACTTGCAATATTTCTCTCCACTTGCGTTTTCCTTTAACAGTTTATGCATAGGTACACATAACGTACATACGACATATAAAAAAACCTGGTATCTGACAATTACGAAAATATCCATATATGTATCTGCAGGAGAAGTCCAGGGAACATAAAATGTTCCCCCCCAGCCCCCAATGCACAGGTACTAGTTTATCTACCTGCCAGCACTTACCATCTCCTTTTTTCTTTCTGTCTCTGCTTGTTCTTCCAGATACAGCTCTTGGCGGCTTTGTTCCAGTTCTTCACGCTTCTGTTGTTCTCTTTCCAGATTCTGGGCAATCTATTACAAGAAGGGAAGATTTCTAAATAAAAGATAAGAATGTACAATAGTTTTTTTCTACAATTTCAATTTTTGATACCATGCTTTGAAGTCTTTGTTTTTTCTCCTCAGCGTCTCGAACTTTAGCCATCCGATCTTCTTCCCTTTGTCGCTGAATGTTGGCAAACTCCATAATTTTCTTATGTTCTTCTTCCATCTCTTCCTGTTTCCTTCTCCTCCAGATAGCTTGTTCTTTTTTAAATTCTTCAATATATGTCTGAGTTGCTCTCATTTTATCTAACTTCAGTTGTTTTTCCCTATAGAAGATGGAAAAAAATGTTTAAATAATTATGTAACATACTGCAGAGTAACATTAAACAGACCATATGCTCATCATTAACAGTATATTCCAGAGACTAAGATTGACATGACTTTCCTTACCCATTCAGCTGGAAACTAGGTACCTAAATTAAAAATACTTCATTAATGAATTCCCCCAAAAAGGGAATCTCATATCTAACACCTTTCTTCAGGACAGGCTATAGACATAGCTATTCACTACTACTCCATTTTATACATACTCCATCAAAACAGAAAGAAGAGAAGGAAGCCCAGTGGCACCAGAATCTTCTAAACTTTTAATTTATTTATACTAAACTCTTCCCCCACTACCACCCTGCCCTCAGAAACCTCCTTTCCTATCCCTGTCCATAAGACAGGCACACAACACATCTTATGAAGAGGCAGGGACATGAGGCAAGGCAGAAATCTGTGATATACGCAGTCATTTCCAGCATGATGGGCCCAATGGAAGCACTCCTTGAAATAAACTGGATTTCGTATTTGGGGAACCAGGACATGAGATTGACTGGAATAACAAGAACATTCTGACATTTAAACAGCAAAATCCACACAAGTCAGTCTCTTGTTACTAAAATGTGACCAAGGAAAACTAAAACGGGCCTTAGCCTATGAAATAAAGGTATACAAATTAGTTTTCTGCACAGAATTATGAGAGTTGCTTTGTTTTAAATTAATAAATAATACAAATTCAAAGTAACTAACATTTCATCTTCCTCATAGATCTTTCTTACAATTTCATCAATCATGAGTTTCTCTTTTAGAAATTCTTCATAAGCATCCTGCTTCCTCCTCTCTTGTTCTTCAAGCTGTTTCTCCAGTTCTTGCTGGTACATTATTTTCTCCTTGTTTCGCCTCAGTTCTGCAGAACTTTCTGCTTTTATTACCCTTTCATACTCTTCCTTCATCTTTTGGGCTATTTCACCCTCACATTTCTATAGGGGAAAAAAAGCAATACAATATTCCTTTTTACTCTGCTAAAACAACTTGTAATGAAAAAATACACAGTATAATTTACTGCATTATAAAAAAGGAATGTTTTCCACCTCAATCTATAACTGTAGTGCCTTAACATGCTTAATACCTTAATTCAGTAAGTAGAACCCTTGGAAGAGAACCCTCAATAGCTAAACAACCGGAGGAGAACTAACAATACTTAAAGGAAGCTATATATTGAATGAAGACAAAGTAGAGCGTTTGGCATGAGTGAAATGAGCTCACGTTGGCCTAATGACTGGAGTGTGATTTAACTATGTAGAACATCTTCAATAAATGTGTTGTCTTTACAGCAGTTTGCATAAACTGAATTTTGTATAAAACATTAACATAATTGGAATCACCTGCCTGATCACCAGTATTATTCTATACGTAAATAGAAGTTGACAGTTCTTTCTGAAGTTATTCAGATATATTTTTAATAATAGTAACATTTTCAACAATCTGCTTCTGAGGCAAGGACTCACTCCCATAAGCAGTTACTGTACAAAGCGTATCATAGTTTTAACTTGGAAAAGTACAACAAAAGCAGTAAAATAAAAACTATATCCATTCATACAGCTTAATTTACTACTATTTTGATTGCAATGGCAAAGTAAACCTTTTTCTTATAGCTGGTTATTACCAGCTAATTAGTCCTTCATAACACAAAACATATTTTCAATAAACACTGAATGCTTAAACCTAACACTATTTTAGATAAAAAGGTCATCTTCAAAGGAAAAAACTTCAGCACAGTCCATACAAGGAGTTACAGCACTCAGGTGCGGGGATGCACTGTGAAGCTAATTACCATTTTCTCATACTGTATAGCTTCTTTTTCAGCAATCTGTGCAGCTCGCTCTTTATTCATATAAGCGGATTTTAGCTTTTTTTCTAACTCTCGAAGTTCAAGACTGGGGGAGGAAAAAAAAAGAAATTTATCCTAAAGAGAAAATTTCGATCACTATTTAAGCACAATTGAAAAATATGTATTTTTCAGGGAAAAACTCAATTTTAGATTAAAAATAATGCTCTAATAAAAAAGCAGAAAACAAAACCTGTTTTAAAATCTACATTTGTACATATACGATCAATAGTTTTGCATACTTTACATCTAAGTATATAAATACATGTGTACTTATATAAACACGTATGCTTATAGATATGTGTAAGTGTACATATATATATAAGCATATATTCAAAACGAAAATTTTGTGGATCAGAGTTTTTCCTCTTATTGACAAAGTTTGCTTAAAATTAACTTTTTACCATACCGTTACAGGTTTGTGTGGCACAGTTGGTTTTTTTGGTAGCAGGGGAGGGGCCGCAGGGGCAGCTACTGTGAGAAGCTGCTAGAAGCTTCCCCAGCTCCAAGTCGGACCCACTGCTGGCCCAGGCCGAGCCCATCAGTGATGGTGGTAGCACCTCTGGGAAAACAGATTTCAGGAGGGGAACCGGTAGTGAGCAGGGGGATTGGGATGTGAGAGGAACCCTCTGCAGATACCGAGGTCAGTGAAGAAGGAGGGGGAGGAGGGGATGCTCCTGAGGAGGTTGGTGCCCCTGCAGCCCGTGGTGAGAGGGCAGGCTGTCCCCCCCAGCCCATGGAGGGGAGCGGGGGAGCGGAGGCCCCCCAAGATGGCCGTGACTCCATGGGAAAGCCCGCGCTGGAGCAGTGTGTGGCTGAAGATCGACCCGCGGAAAGGACCCACGCCAGGGAAGTTTGTGAGGAACTGCAGCCCACAGAAAGGAGTCACATTGGAGAAGTTCGTGGAGGACTGTCTCCCGTGGGAGGGACCCCACAGCGGAGCAGGTGACGAGCAAGGAGTCCTCCCCCTGAGGAGGAAGGAGCGGCAGAGACAAGGTGTGGGGAGCTGACCCCAACCCCCGTTCCCCATCCCCCTGCGCCGCTGGCAGGGAGGAGTTGGAGAGAACCGGGAGTGGAGTTGAGCTGGGAAGGAAGGAGAGGTGGGGGGAAGGTGTTCTAAGGTTTGGTTTTACTTCCCAATATCCTTGTTTTTGATCTGACTTGTAGTAAATTAAATTGATTTTGTTTTCTTCCCCAAGCTGAGCCTGTCTTTTGCCTGTGACCAAAAGTGGGGGGTGATCCCTCCCAGTCCTTAACTCGACCCACGAGCCTGCCTTTATATTTTCTCCTCATCCCACCATGGCTGGCCGAGAAAGGGGGGGAGGGGGGAGCAAGCGAGTGGGTGCATGGTGCCTTTTTACCAGCGGGGCTTAAACCACAACACATACCTTGATATTAAAATAACTTTTCCTTCCAGGTCAGATTCCTTTCCGCTTCTGCTACAATTTTCACAAAGTCTGTCTTGTCTCCACATAACTTGGATGACCTCACACTGTTCAGACGTACACCTCCTCCCTTCCCCTCGTTTGTCTCGCATTCACCTCCAACACACTTTTCTGATAGTGTTCACTGATACCTGGAGCAACCCCTCTGATCACAGCCTTCTCCTAAGCACTTCTCAAAATATACCTTTTCCTGTGTTCTTTCCAGTTACAATCTTCTCTGCTGTACAAGCCTATTCTAAAAAATAAATTGTGTACCCGATTTTAGCATACTAAAACTTCCTCTCCGTCGACTGAAAACATCTCGTGCTACAATCTTACTGCACCTACCGTTTAGTCCAAAATGTGATCAAGAAAAAATGAGCAGGAGCTACACAGCTGACTGACTACTTCCATACATAGGCTGTTCAGAGTTGGGACTGATTTACAGTAACAGCTAATTCAGTGATGTAGTGAGAGTTTTGAAGCGTTACCTGTTCTCTCTTACTTGTTGCCTCATCTTTTCATCTTTAAGTTTCTCGCGGTTCAGCCTCGCCAGCTCAGCTGCCAGCCTTTCTTCTTGCTCCAGCTGCAGCGCTCTCTGTTTTCTGCTCTCTTCTGCCTAATCAGAACAAACAATTTCCATAACAACTCTCCTCCCCGCACCTGCAGGCGCATTTGGAGGCAGACAAATTGCGAGGCTGTGTAGTCAGTACGTAGTTTCTGAAGGTGAAAAGCTTTCTAAGGGAGAGCCGGGTGGAGCTCTCCCAACAGCGGGACCGCCTCTCCTCGGCCCTCACCCGGACGGACACGCGGGTCTGCATTCGCGCACACACACCCCACACACCCCACCCCACACACACCCCACACACGCAGAGG